GGTGGTGCTGTTGGTTTTGTTGATTTTCCAAAGAGAAAGTCCCCCGTAACACGATTCGATTTGTATCGACTGGTAGAGGACTTTGCATCGGCGACTCTGGTCCATATGTCCGGATATCCCACGTGGTCGTTGTTTGTTTATCTGAATATTTCCTCTTTCGAATACTTCGAAAACATCCGATCGCACTGAGGTTAATTTTGTTCATCAGGGTCTGGCCATTGACACCAAAGTTGTGTCATCTGAATGGGAACTGGAAGCTCTGTTAATTTGTCTCTGACTGGGAACGGAGCAGACGATAATCTGATTGTTTCAAGCATTCATTCGCCCCTAGTTTTGGGTAATATCCAATTATTTTGCACCTTGCTGACTAGCGGTGAACATGTGATCTCGTATGCGTATTGACGTTCACCCGTTTCAAAGCCCGATCGATAGACAACTCCGCTAAATCTAAAATATCACGTGCTTGTGCCATCGCACTTGTATACTATACTTGGGTTTGTTTATCGACTCAACCGGAGATTGGCCTTTTATAATGAACAATCTGGAGCGGACGATGCCGGATTATGTGAATTCATTTAGTCCGTATACATTTGTCGCACAGACCGGATTTAAAGATAGAAACGTGCAAATGTATGCAATGGAACATAGCGTAACGAGAAGGCGAGCTGGCTGGGCAAACGTCTATTGATCCAATTCAAAAACAAACAGTGTATGCGTTCGATTATATACAGTCAATTCTCAACCGCGCGGCGGGATGATTCATGCCTCTTTCTGTGGGTCATTCGTTGTTGGTCTTGGTCCGCACTTGGCACGTACGTTGCCTCTTCTTCCGCGCCCCATTCCGACTGGTTTGACCCGATCGCGGCGCGAGATGCGTTGATCGACAGCTCTGACGTTGCGGCATTCGGTGGGTATCTTTCCCGTTAGCTGCGGATTGTCTGTCTGGCTGTAATTGTCGATTCGTTCGTTTCGGGTGGCAGTCAACATTGTCTCGCGAGGCACTTCCCGCCGCTGCGTCTGCGCGTCTGGTCGGATGAGCCCCATTCTTGCTTCGGTCGCTAACCAGGACTCTCTTTGTACTGCCTTCCATCACAATAGCATTTATTATTGTGATGTTTTTCAGGAACAGGAAGAAAATAGAAAGATCAACAACATCTCTGTTATGTCTCGCCGAACTATCACTGAACCTGGTCTAACGATGCGCATCTCAACGATTCCAGTAAAAAGACAGTTTGGAAACAGTGCGAGCCTTTATTGGGATCAACAGCCAAATGTGGTCGTGGTCCTGGTCAAGTAAGGGAAAGAGAACGTGCGGTACTTATGGGGTTTCTGACTGTCTAGACTCTTGTCCGAAATGGGATTCACGTGAGTGGCGATGGGGGACTTGCTAGAAATCAGGTCACCGTACTCTGTACTTTTTCTCTGACGCTCACGTATCCAGTAAGACCGAGAAAATGCCGACACGTTCAGACGGTTTATTTCCTCTTAACAAATTGGTGCTATGTGATACCTGAAAAACAACGGAAAGAGAAGGTACGGCTACCAGTAGTCCGGTTCGTCCCGATACCACACACTCAGCATATTAGTACTGTCCTCTATTTTACCTGTTCGCTGAGCTTTGCAATTTGTTTGCAAACGTTTCATCACCAGTCGAGGTGACATCATCAGTGTTTGTGAAGTGGCCAAGCTCGGCGAACAGGCGAAATAGAATTCAGTTCACCCGAGCTACGAGAATTGATTTTCAATACTTTGTCAATAGTTCTTTCCTCATCACCGCTGTACAGAGATACTTTGAAGCGGCTTGCATATACCACTATCGATCAGTTCGGGTTATTTGGATCTGTGAGGCAAAATGTGACTTCGGATAGTGATTGCTCATTAGTGTATTGGTGTTTTCAAAGTCGATGAAACTTTTCAGATAATCCAGTGGGTGCTGTAGACCCAAGCAGTCACACGCGGTCACATGAACTGATTGTTCTATGGATTGTTCGGCGGCCATGGCATGACCTTCGGTGGCCCTGTGGCCCTTTGATTTGCTGTCGGGATGGGCGTGTCTGCTAGATACCTGATAATAACCGGCGAACATGTTAAGATGTAAATAATGGCCGGATGGCACTTGCTGGAAGGCGGTCATCAAATATTAATCGAAGTTCTCGCTCCCTGATCGTGAAAAGCGCGGTCTGCCCAGAAGAAGTGTGTACAGTGTCCCAGTATTTCAAACCGCAAAGCGTAACGATGGTGCCCCATTTGTCTATAACTTTGCCATTCATGAATGCTCGTAAGAGGCTCACAATTATGCCAAGTCGTTGCATTTTCCATCATATGTTGTGGTATGGACCTTCCTGATGTTTAGAATGCCCCATATCACGGAATAGTATGCTGTCGAATTTAGAGCTCTGGTCCGATTGCAATTAGCAGAGAAATCCCCAATTTGCAAACTACTCGATGAAAATTGCTCCTACTAATCTCCGTTTTTTGCATTGGTACCACACACCATTTCGTGAAATGCTCGAGCATCATCAAAATGAAGCAGTTTCCACTTTTGTTTAGCAACACTGACCCTATCAGGTAAACAGGCACAGTTGCATTCGAGAATTTTGAGGCAAGATATTGAAGGAATGAGAGGGATGTGGGGACTGGGCTCTTGCATGTGCCTAGTAACGTGCCTAATTTGAAAAAAAAAACCAAATGCCACGCTGAACCTGGGTTAAACAGAATCGTCTGTCCAGCGTGACCAAGTTCTTCATGCAGACGGTTAATACAGTATCCGCTGCTGCTTGAGCAGCTGTCGCAGGTATTCGAGGCCATCTTGGTGGTGGAGAACACAATCTCCGTGTGCAAGGATAATTTGGCGGGAGAGGTCGCCTGTTTTACCGTCGGCGTTAACTGACGTCGTAGTATTCCTAAATTATCTCCTGCTATGGTGTCGTTTCCCTTGGTCTTGGGAGTTCTGGATCCATGGGACGAACTTGAGTTCAGATCACAAGAGGAACTGTCGACCTAATACTTAATGAACGGAGATGTTTCAGGAACAGGAGGACGGCGAATATTTGCGTCGTGCAGTAGTTCCTTTGCATCGGTGTCAGTGGTGTACGGAATGACATGTTCACGTCTGCCTGGTGCTCTCCGCGATAAGACTAGGCCGATGGAGCGGTCACTTACCTCAGTGTCTAGGGTAAAAATACCACCGTTTTCTAAGGTTCCCGGGTAAGATAGGATGGGGGTGGTACACAGCCGGTTACGAAGGTGTGGTAATTCAGGCCTACACGATGGCGCCTATCCTGGAGCGGCGCGTTACAGTTTCAAGACAGTGGCGATCAATCAAGTTTGAATGTTGACGTCAATAGCACGTGCATAGCTTCTGAATACACGTCATTGCAATATTTATTCAGTCCACAAAAGTCGATCTCAAAACCGACGGCGGCGATGATCCAGCGATGGAGCATTGCATTGGCCGCTTACGACTACGACATAGTGCACCGTCCGGGCAAAGCAATTCCCCAGGCCGATTTTCTCTCGCGGTGGTCCAAATTCTTGGAGGCTAAGAGGTGTCACTTCATTGCTACTGCTGCCCCGATATCCCGAGAGGAGTTGCGCCGATGTACCAAAAGATACTATGCAG